ATTTATGTAATGTCCCTCTAAAAAGAAAGCTCACTACCAATACTTTTCACTTTGCTACAATTAGGTAGGTGAATTATGAAGAGATCGTCCATAACAATCCTCGGAATCCTGCTGTGCCCTAAGTTGAGGTATTCAGATTTATCTGGTCTAAAGCACCTACCCAATTTACTAACGGATAAGGCCGTGCCTGAGCACTGCAGGCAAATTTAAGTACCGCAAGGACGGACGAACCTGCGTCAAGATAATATACGGTAACAGCAATTAACGATAAATAACGATTTTATAATGCAGCAGCTTAATATAAAAGAGGTGTAAAATGCAGATAACATTGACATATGCTTTAACTGTATTTTCATCTGTTAAAGTAGTCGGCCGTTACTCACTTCTCAACGTTCCCGTTTTATAACATGTTTAAACATAGGACTTTATTTAAATCTGTAATTCGGGTTAATCCATTAATGGCCTAAAGTTTGTAAGTTTGTACCAGACAATCCTATATTACGAGTAGAATTATTTGAAAACTGAGGGGCGGTTAACACTACCCTTTAGAATTTTAGGTGAATGATTTTATGAACGAAAATAAGTCTCAGGTTTAAAATTTTTTAACTATTTAAACGATTTCACGACATAAGCAGTTGCAGTCAGTACAAATTAAACAAAATAGAAGGCGTTCATAGTATATTAAGAGACAAGCGTATAATCTAGTCTTTAAAGCACGCGCAATGAGTTTAATGGCACGACACGTAGCGGAGTGCTTTTAAAAGTTGAAAGTTTTTTAAAGATCAATTATACAAATGTTTCTTACAGTATTTTTTTATTATACGTGCACTATAATTTAAAAATAGAGAAATAAAATAAAATCATATTGACGTTATACTCGAATACAGGTCTAATTATGTGGGCTGTATATTCGTAATTCCATGATTGACATGGAAATGTCACTTAACGTTCTCTTATAAAAATCGCCATCTTTGTAAATAAAATGACTTAGGTAGAAGAAGATCATACCCCGTCCAATAATGGTTTGTAGCAAAATCAGAAGCAGAGTTGGTAAGGGCAAAATCTAAATCCAGTAAAGGCTTGTATAAAGAATATGAAAAGTTGTTTTCGTGCATGAACCGGAAGCATCTTACGAAGAAAGACTTAAATGCATTGATACTTAATGCTGAGATATATAAAGTAAATGGCAAAGGTATTTAAATCTTCTATAATTTGGTGCATTTATTAAAAACTTTAAACAATGTTCCGATTTCTCGCGCATTTGAGTGTTCAAAACGGAGATTGTGATTTATTGGTACAATACAAAAAATTTTAGACTCGATTTTAGATAATAGGACACAGTCTAGGCAAGAATAAAATACAATTCCTTAATCTACCTTCCCTTAGCCTCCGACAGCAATCATTAAATGCTATCCACCCTTATCACCAGCCATAAACGTATCTTTTGAATTCAGTAGCAAGTAGCAATTTATGGTAAAGTAGTTCCATTAGAAGTAGCGCACGAGGTAGCGCAGGATTATGATCAGTGCGGGACGCTGCAGTAAAGAGCTGGTTTATCTTATATGATCATCCTTACAGTACATTCAAAAAATTTTGTAAATACGTCCCCACAAACTGTCACAGTTGAATGTGTCAAAAAAATTGATTGGTAGAGAGACCTAAAAACTAATATTTTATATAATTAACCGCTGGTACGCAAATGATCGTTTTGGATACGCCCAAAATTCTGATCTGGACGAAGTTTTGGTATCTGGGTTAACAAACATAAAAGTGGTTTTAGGATTATCCCTTCTTCGTTATTCAGCGCGGTTGTGTTAATGTGTTAATTCTGCAAATCTATTACTATTTATTTCACACTTAATTACTGTAACAAGGGTCGCTTGGTTAAAAATTTTGGTTTTGAATTTGTATTTTAACATACAGGAAAATTTACACATGTACCACTTCATAGTGATCGAGAATGAGAGTATGTCCGGCGATAACCAGAAACGTATTGCGGAAAGCGAGGGCGGTTTCTTCGATTTCGTGAGCCTAATAAACTTTCGTTTCGTACGTGACCTAAGTGCGGCGTTTCTATTAGTTGTTGGGGCACGCCAGTCGAGGTCATTTCCGTTTAGAAATAAGTTCCTTTTTGTTTCTATTCCTTCTGTTTGAGTGCATTAAAAATTAGATTCGAAGACGAATTCTCCAGCTATCACGTACACTGTTTCGCGTGTGAATTTTTTTATAGTTAAAAATTTACCTTGATTTTCGAAGAACCATTGTGTACCATTTTAAATGCGTTGGAATTGAATTCTTAGCATTATAAAATCAGGCGCGTACCATTTTGTGTACGAGACGTTTCATTCGCGTATATATGAAGATTGACGGTCGAAATTCAAGAACCAAAACAATAACAAACAAATATATGTCGACCAACTGTTTTTCCGCCGGGAGGGTGCCCAGGATACATGCACTATTTCCGCGTTGGATAGCTAAGGATATCCTTTAGAATAAAAATTGTTTAGCGCGTTTGTCGCCGGATTCCGCAATTAAACTTCTGCCCATTCTATTAAGAAAATCTCTTGCACCATGAGCCAACTGTCTCGAAAGCAAGTCCCATAAATATATAGCCTTTCTTTAGATCTTAATATTTTTTGTGTTTTTTGAGCATGCCTCTTCTGCTGCAGCTCCAGCCCTTACAGAAAGTACTCTTCAAGTATGTTGTGGATAAGGTGTCCACACATGTACAGTCATATGCAAGGGATTGGCCTTTTGCATATGCTGTAAGCGTTATCTCATCAGGTCGTTTACCATCGGAACGGTATAGTCCAACCGGTTCCAAAGATGCTAAAGTTGATGGAAGTAAGTGCTCTATGAATTATTTGGTGACGTGATATTCGACCTTTGTTGTTCACTGTGCAGCTAAGTCCATGGTATCCGTTTTCATTTGTTATTTATGAGTGATAAAATTTACGCGAGGGAACATTTCTGAGTAGGAAAACTGGTTTTAAAACCAAAACGCAAGTAATTAAGAACTGATATTAAAACTTATCTTGATATACAGAGAATATCCATTTTTTCGAAGGAGGAAGGTCTATCTGGCTACAGCCCCCCCCCCCCTCCGCCGAAGATGAAATTTGACTATCAAATCTTAATTGACCGGTTGTCCATGTCCCTCCGACTACCTTTCTGGTTGGGCCACTGCCTCGATCGAATAAGGGGTATGGATATTTTTTAATACTGAGCTAGCCATGAGTAAATTAAAAATTAATTATCACAGTGCCAGTGATGTAAAGGTCGAATTTTATTTTTGGGTCTTTGACCCTTGTAAATACAACTAAGCCAGTTACACTGCTTTCATTGAAACCGAGGTTGAAACAACTATGAAACGCATCGGATGCATAGAAATGAGTAAATTGATCTTTTGAGGTAAATCTCATCCACTAATATGAAAAAAATACTTCAGAATAAATGTCCGAGGGGGCGAAAAATTAAAAGCATTTATTGCTTTTATAAAGCAACTGACCACAAAATTCAATGGATTTATTACTTGTCTTATCTAATACGATGTTTAATAGTGTTAACTGTTAAGTAAACCGTGAGTTAAACGTGGTTGTTACGATTTAAAATTAGAATTGTTGTAGACGTTTTTATTATTATTCATAGGAGGGGTCGTCAAAACATTTAACCGAAAAAGGAGGTTGCAGTGTCTAAAAGTTAAGAACCAACAGAAACTACAGGATTTAAGTGCTCGTTTTCTTCATATTATTGAAGAACAAATAAATTCTTATTAATATGGTTTGTTAGAACATTTGGTCTGGGTTACTAAAAATGTACCTACAAAGGTTGGGATCAAATACAGGAACACTGAGTATATTTAATTATTAGTTATGAATAATGAAGATTTATTCTAGGTACACAAGAAAACTTTGCTCAGGAGTATCTTTAAAGGGTGCCACAAAACACAAAATTAATTCACAGTTATACCTCGATTACAGGTACGTATGTACTTTCCTTATAGCACTGTTAGTTTATCGAAATTTTTGTTATTCTCTTATGATTTGCGATAATACTAGGGTAGAATCGAAGGTAGAATGCAATAGGTACTTCAACTGCCACGAATTTTACACTTAGTGCTTGTAAGTCTATTCGTTTTTAATGAAAAAGTTCAGCTGCTGTACATTCCCATCTCTTTCTCAGTTGTTATTACATTTAGAGAGCTTTAACAAGAACGCCTCATGAATAAAAAACATATTTAATTGGAGATGACAATAAAGCAGCTACCGTTCTTGTATTACTGATTGTTATTGAATTTATTTTGATTGGAGCCGAAGCGAAAACCGAAAACGTTAAATAAAGAAGTTTTATTATCCCTTTGCCAAGGGTCAAAGCCGTGTAGTCGGTTACTGTTTCCTATAGCTCGATATCTTGGTCTTATTCTTTCATTGCATAAGCAAGGACGACTTTACCTATACCGATTAAAAATAAATTATAAAACAGAAAAAAGGAGAATTTTCTTATTTAATTTCGGCTTGGATGACTTTTGAGAGATTATTGACAAGTTGAAAGTAGGAAGCAGAACTTACGCAACATTAACTTGGGAAAAAATGGTAAAAACGAAAATTACACTTTCTTCCACTTAATTGCTAATAATTCAGATTTTTTTTGCGAAAATTGGTAGCTTTCTAACCACGCTCTTATGTTTGTTTTGCATGTCAAATCTTCACTAAGGAATTGTTTTGCGATTATTGTACTGTAAAATTAGTAAAGGTGCAGTATAGGGAAATTCGATTAAAATTTGTAGCGGTCAGATTCGAATTGCGCTTATCAATAAATTGTGTCAGTGTTACATGCAGTTTTTCAAATTGCACCTACTTGAAATAACCTAAAATCGCCGTACTTCTGACGTGATAATCACCAATTATATTCCTAATGATTACTTTAATTAGACAATTTGAATGGAGCAAACAAGAGGATAATGGAATTATAAATGACAAAAATTAAGAGAAACACGTTACCTGCATTAATAACGGTTAAATCCTTTGCGTAAATTGCTGCATGCTCTCACATTTAAACAGTTATTCGTACACAAACTTAGTTAGCACACAATCTACTAATTAGATTAAATGTCCCCTGTTTTTTTTTTATTAAAAATTTGTAATTCGTTGTTATTATTCGAGGGACGTTCGGTTTGTAACGGAAGTACGAGTTTGTTCCGCAAGTTAAAAAATGTAACTGACATGACGAGCACGAAACGGAATAAAGCATTCATTCATTCTTACCTGTAGGTAAATATCAGGTAAAAGAACGTAGGTGAACGGCGATGAAGTTTGGTTGCCTAAAGTTAGGCGTATCTCGTTCTCGCCATGCGTCAATTACAAATTTATTAAATAATTCAGAGTTCAGGTGATAAATTATAACACGATGTCAACTGGTAATAAATTTGGGAAGGTCGCTACGTTGACTTTTTAATGGAAATGGTTTTACATATGCATACAAAATGTCTAATTCGACAATGGCAATGACTTCTTCAAATTTGCCGACTAAATGGTCAATTAAATATTGAAATTAAATGTCAGAACATTGCACCTTTAGACGCAATCCAAAAAAGTCATTCCCTTAGTAAGGCTAAAGAATTGGTGCCATTTTTGAGTGAATATTTTGAAATGGAGCGGGATAATGGTGACTCCTTGTCAGATAAACGTTGAATATTTTATTACAACACAATTTTGTTAATATATTTCAGGAGGTTTGAAAGATCAACATCTCGACACAGTTATCCGCTCTTGTACATTATGTAAACGTTTTGGAAGAAAGAATATGATTTAACACCAGTTTCGTTAAATGTTACACTTGGGTACTAACTGCTGTTTGAAAAATATAATTATTAAAATTACTGACGTTCACCGTTCACGGAAAGTACGAGCAATAAACAAATCCGTACATCGAGGACATACCTATCTAGAGTTTTCTATCGACCTCCCATAAAATACATTTTGTTTTATCTAACTACCTAGATTACACCGCTTTTAAGAATTTAAGGGTTAAATTATGTGAAATCAACAAGGTGTATAAAATATAGGAGGCGAATTTTCCAATAAACTATATTTGGTGGAATTTAAACAGTCCGTGAGTGTTTGGTACTGGAATTGAAGATCGTCTTTTCTGCGTCGTTAATTTCAATAGCGCTTTGTTTTCTTAATTAGTTTCGGAAACCTAGGCGACAAGATGTCCGGAATGTTCAGTCACTTTAATTACTTAGTTACAAATGCACACTGGGTGTGATGTCATTTTCACCAGTGTAGAGACTGAATGATTGATCACCCTAGCTTTTATTTGATCCGTCGGGCGGGATTTAAAAAATGATTAAATACGTCTGCGTTAACAATTCGCCATTTTGTGGGTAGTCATTAATTAAGTAAGAACAGGAAATGAGTAGCATGGGAAGTTTTTGGGGGCATTCGGTCTAAAAGTTCGAAGAGAAACCCGGGTCAAGTTGTGACAAAAAATTTCGTTACCACTTTACCATAGCGAAGGTTCATTTTTTTGGGCATCGTTTTGAAACCTCATTGTCTCGTGATTTTTCCGGTTCCATGTTCTAAAGATTCTACCTGAAAGTTCTAAGAGGACTATAAAAAGATTGTAAGAAAATTAAAAGATTTTAAGGAGAGAAAATTATAGGCTTCATATGATAATGAAGAATGTTCCGTAAGATGCTCATGCTCATAGAACAATTATTGTGTCAGAAGACGTACAAGAAATCACATACGGCGAGCAAGCGAGTCTTATGGCAAAATAAGTAAGATTCCGCAGTATAATTGGGTGGTAGAGTTTGCGTCTTTTTGGAATTTTTTCCTCAAAAATCACGACACAAACAGAATGGGTTTAATGAATTTTTCTATGTATTCAAATATGCCCTTACCAATTCGGCAATCTTCCTATGCCAGGATAACCCACCTCGGTCCAGATATTATAAAGGGGCAGCTTTGAACATAAATATAAACACGAAAATTTTAAGAAATATCCATTATCTATCATCCTAAATAAGATTCCAGCAATTTTAATAATTATGAAGGTTTAGAGGTGCCGAAGACCATGATAGTTCCCGAGAAGATTCTAAAACTTTAAGATGGTTACAAGAAGCCTGTGATTAGGTTCTAAGATCCGGGAAGAAAAAAGAATTAAGCAAATTCGACAAAAATTCCAATCTATATACAGGGTGTTCTTAAATACAATACATAAACATAGATTCGAAAAACGTTTTTTTACGATCTACAGGGTGTTAGAATTTCAAGATTTTTTAAGACTTTTCTTTATATCTTCTGTAGTGTTTGATATATTTCGCTTAAACTTTAAATATAATTTACACTCAAGAAGAATTAAGGAAATTCGATGAAGATTCTAATCTATATACACTATACAGGGTGTTCTTAAATAAAATACATAAACGTAGATCCGAAAACGCTTTTTTACCGATCTACAGGGTGTTAGAATTTTAAGATTTTTTAAGATTTTCCTTTATATCTTCTGCAGTGTTTGATATATTTCGCTTAAACGTAAAATATAAGTTACGTCCTTGTTTCACTTCCCCAACGTTGGGTTTTCTTTATAAGGTAAACACTCAATTTTGGGAGGGTCTTTTGTCATTTTCCCGTGCCGTAATTTGGATATACATATAGTTTTTGCGTTGTGCGCGCTGTTTTTTAATTTTACGACACAAATTCAAACCGATTGTGCGCAGACTTCCCGATTACCGAAGTTAGTCGTGCGGTTCTAACTGTTAATCTACGCGTTGGAAGTGAAGTCACGAAAAGTCGGATTCGTAGAGAAAACTAGCACGTGACATTTCCGGGTGAAAATACATTTTGTAACCAGAAAACATGAGTGCGAGTGGAGACAATCCTAGCAATTGTCACAGCCAGATGTAACGGTAGCTCTAAATTTTCATTTCAATTTTTTCGAAATTTCGTTGTCAAGTTAGAACCTTTGTGAATTCGTCTTTAGCGAGTGAAATTTGTTATTCAAATAAATGATATTCTTGGTAGAAATTCAAAGAATAAATTTGTCAACCGCGGTGCAAATGTGGCGCATTTTTTGCGTCGTTTAATTTCTATGGAACGTTGTTTCTTAATGTGTTTCGAGCCTCTCGAGCCAAGATGTCTGGCATTTATATCATATTTCGTCTTCTTAATTAGTGCTATTTGGTTACAATGGCTGGCCCAGCATTAGGTCACTCTCTTGACCACGGGGAGATTATAGTAAGCCTCTCTCTTCTGTGCTTTCATGAATGTACGGATTATCACAAAAATTAAAAGTTAACGTCGCGTAAGAGTTGTTTACGTAGGGAGATAAATATCTGTCGTATTGGACCAAGGACATTTAAGTAGGCGCGCTGATATATTGTTATTACAAAAAACCAATGTTAAAACTGCTGTGTAAACGTTTACTACCGTGAATCTGAAAAAGTGACTGACCTCTACTTGGTCGTAGTCGTAAATTCATCCTAATGTGCGTATTAGAAAAATTAAATAAGGAACATTAAAGTACAAATCTTTTGGTAGTATAGCTTTTTCCTACTTTTTGGTCAAACTTGTTAACTCCAAACAGTTGTATTAATAAAATGGTGGTTTGGTCGTAACTTTTAAAATACAAGGATACAGCAGAAAAGACAACGTCCCGAGAAATTTGAATCATTTGAAAATCCAAGGAAGTTTTTTGTTACCTATCTTTCCTAATTAATTGTCAATGAAAGAAGATTGTATCCAACCCAATTCTGTTTCAACATTTTCACCTGCAACAAGGCCCTCGTATATGAGGTACAATTTTTTTCCATCTTTCAAAGTTAAATGTTCGAATCTTTAAGGAAAAAATCATCGTTATTTTAAACTTGATTGAAGTTTGAAAATTGTTAAGGAGTTCAAGTGGGTCCATTTCCATTTCAATGATAGTTTAGATAAACTGTGTATATAGGAATGAGTTTCATTAATTCCAAAAAAGATGTGACTAATTGTTTGAATTTGCGAACAAACCCATAGCAAAGTGAAGTGTTGAAGTCAAATTTCAGGATACTGTAAAAAGGAGAAATTTTCAATAAATCAATCAAGGCATAATAAAATTTCATATAGCCGTGGTTCAAGCAATTACTTAGAATTTCAAAATTTTGATTTCCCAAAGAAAAAGAAGTTCAACCCCCTTTATTGGGAAAGCTTGTTTCGCAGGTGACATAAAATATGAAGTTTTATGTTTATTTGGGGAAATCCAAACCACTTTAAGTTACTTTGTACAGCACCGGTCTGTATATCAATCCAAAATTTGATTTTATTTGATATATGTGCACATTTTTTAAATTTTTAAGAGGCTAAATTGAATCAGAGGTATGCAGAATCTCATCCTTCAAGTATAAAGAAAGTAAGTTTCATTCTCCTAAGAAACCCAATGCACTAAGCGCCCAGATAATTAAGTATGACAAAAAAATTAGTGATAGAAAGGACCACAACAAACATGCAGAGAATAATCTCTTGCAAGTAGCGAACGATGGCAATATCTTCAGTGCTTTATGGGTTGCAAGATATTAGGCGCGAACATAAGAGACGTCTCATAATTAACAAAAAAAAAACAATTGACTTAATTGCCCATATTTGGTAGTCAGCTTTCCTCCAGAAGTTGCATCATTAATACATTGAAATTAAAATTCCATCCACATTTTTCCGCCCTCTTCTACTTAATAATAATAAAACCATAGACTTGCAATCGAATTTCTATACAAAGTGATTAAAGGAACTTAATTACTCCGGCGTTATTAAAAACAAATTTTATTTAAGAGAAAGGAAGTTATTACCTCCCATCAAGATTTTACGTTTAGTTATAATTTAAAAAAATGTTAACGCCAAATTAGGTCTTAATTACGTTTAATTATGATTTATCTTGGAGTCGCGCTTGTTTGGTTGAATAAGCTCTAGTTACCGATCGATATGCAGCACATGTTCAACTTCGATAATTACGAAGCAATTACGTAATTGTAATAAATCTCTACCTATGGCAAATAATGAAAATATAATTGCGCCGAAAGATCATTCATTCATCATACTGCCTGCCCTTTTCCATAACGCTACCTTGCCAAGAATGTGGGCAAGTTTAAAAGCAACTATAACAAACGTACTCATGCATTTATTTCTACCTTGAACTAATTAAGGTTATGCTAGCTGAAATCGTATTATGCATACTCCGTTGGTTTACAGTTATCCCTCTTCCTTAATAACATATTGTTAAATCTTAATATATTA